TGATTGTGTTAAGCTAGCACTAAGTCCCTCCCCCATCCACCTTTATTCTTTTCTTTACAATAAGGCTTTCAAATAAGTCATGGCTGTACGGCAGTGAAGCATTGGTGTTGAGCACTGATGTCATGCTGTCGTTGATGATGATGATGACTTGCAGCTAATGGTATGGTAATGTTAGACCAACAAGGACTTGACAATACATGTAGAATCCCTCGTGGACCATTGACTACCACTCAACTTCGTGTGTGTGTATGATACTATCCACAAATCGAGCTACTCCTCATCAATTGAAGCACCCTGAAATGGAAGATTAACGAACCAAATCCGATCAGAATTAATTTGAAACTCCTCCAATCCACCAACGGGAGCTTTTGACGACCACACGACAAGAGCAGAGCCGTTAATTGACACTCAACACTGATCTAGTGTGATAATCTGAAGAAGACTTACTAATTGATTCCCCGTCTGTCTTACAACCTGGCCAATTTGGTGACCTGCTCACTTGGCCTGATGAAGCTTTTTTGTGTCAAAAGCGAAACGTTGTCCAATTAAAAAAACTACCGATTGTTTACCAAGTCGTTCTGAAACGAGCTACTCCTCTCTCTTCCTCTTCCTCTTTCTCTGTCAGACACGGGATCTGGCGTCACTGCGTTGCCAACGGATCTTGTTGATTTTTCTGCCCGTCACCTTCCCACAGTGATCATACTTGCCCTACTTATCGTGGCCTTCCTTGTTGTAATCGGTTTCACTTGTCTGCGCATGATGTGGAAAAGGAAACAGTGGCATGCAGTCAAACAAACCCACGGTGGACGACGTGTGAACACCCGCATGTTACCCGAAGGCACAACAGACCCGTGCGTCGAACGATCGAATGGCCGTCTTCCTACAACTGCGCCGCTTTTTATATCAAATGGGACAACCCCTAAAAGTGAGCAATATTGGTTGCTTATCGCCTGTCATTTAAGTAATATACCAATCCAAATCGCTATCTGGACTGATTTTTGGTTTCTGACTGATGTTGTCGATAGAGGAGTATGGTTGTTTGTAGATGCCGTACATTTGTTCAAAGGAGACCGGTCCTGTTTGATAGTGTAATTTTCTTTCTCCTATCGAGAATCTCTTGGTACAATTACTAAACGTTGTCTCCCTTCACTTCCACAGTCCCCAATGAGCTTTCGGTGGACACCAACCCCGTGGATTCGCCCTCTGAAGCCGACCCCTTCAGTCATACACCAGCTGATCATGACCCTAGGAAAGCACCAGGATTCTTCGCCGCACTAAGTATATCATTATGTTCACGATCCAAGTCAAAACCGTCTCAGCGAGTCGTTCGTCTAGCCCCCACCATTATACCTGGTCAACCCCGGAGTGATCGTGACACCCCCAATGTTGCTACTCTTCCAGCCGCGGCTCTATACCCCTACGCTACGCATCAGCCGTCGTTGACAAATGACCAAATGATCCAAAATGGACAATCCGGTCTGACTTTTAACTGCAATGGCCATTTTGGACAGGTATGTTCTGTCGGAATTTTACGTTTCCTCTTGAATGCTAGATTTTCTATTGCAACTGGACCCTCCCCCTTGAAACCTGGTAAAAGTCGTGAGTGTATGAAGATGTTCCCTGCTCGAGTCTCATCGTGTGCCTCATTCGAATGTACGTGTCTATGACATATGCACTTAGATGTGTCATTCACTTCCTAGCGCTTCTACGCCGTGGGCATAGAGGGATGTTTGAATTTCATCCCGAATGCTCGGTGCAGATTCTTCAAAAGGTCACTTTCAAACCTACCAAACAAGCCAAAATTAGCACATCTTAAATCAGAAGTGTGGAAATGTCACAAACGAGAGATTCAGTTGGGTTCCAGGCGAGTCTCTCGAAAAACCAAATTAGTCTTTACAAATGAGTGTATATTCGCTAATTTCGTGCAATTTGGTTTCAAGTAGAACATAAGGTTGACGGAAACCCGGGGACTGCGCCTATCTGATGAGGCCCAGTTGGAAGGGCGAAACCGGTCGTGGGCCGTCAACGAATTTTCAGCAACCTTATGAGCAGTACATTACAAATATATACATGTATCGCAATATCTCGAATGTCGTAGCGACTGAAACATGAGGCGGCCTGGTGCAGCACATTCAGTTGCCAGGAAACATCAAAACCGAGAGATTCAGCTGGGTTCCAGATATGGTTTCAGATATGCTCTCCCATATTTCATATGCATGGGCGGAAACGAGGTGAACAATTATGCCGAGCTTTTAAGTTCAGGCTACCTTCGGTCATTCTCAATAACAGCATTCTATTACATAAAAGGCAGTCAATATGTTTAGTTAATTTTCCACTTGGTTCGTCGACCAAGCAAAACAGCAGAGGTCGTGACTTGCTAAATTTAATTACCTCTTGTGCTGAGTAAAGTTCGCAATTATTAGGAGTTTAATCTTCTTAGTATCCATTTCTAGACACCCGTGCATGAATCGTTGCAGTCCCATTGAACACCCAGGGTTTGTTTTGTGAATTTTACCGCTCACATCGTCAAGTAACTAATAATCTGGCATAGCTTGCAGCCGTACTACAGTGTCACATCAACAGAATAGTGCATCGTATAATCAGTCGGTTTACTGGCTTTCAGAAATCGGTCCAGCGAAGAAACATGTCAACCCTTAGTTCTTAGTTTTAGTCCAGCAGCCGATCGCATGACCGACTTATCTATGCCCACCTGGTGAGTCCCAATTAGGAAGAAAGGCCCTATCTAGCGACGTTTTTCCGGAGCGGACCACATACAAAGTTTCGATTATTTTACCCTTTCAGATCGTACCTCCCAATCTCGTGAACGAAATACATCCGATCGATCAATCCTATTCACAGGGGCCTGAAGGGCAACCCCAACCTACAGCCGCTCACCTCGCCACGGACTGGTTTCTGCGTTCGGGCTACTCAAACAGCGCGACAAACTCGACCGGGGCCTCAGTTGTTGTGGGAGCAATCAATCCTGAAATGAACTTGTATACAACTGTTAATGGAGAGTCAGATGCGGATAGCAACGGACCGAGTGAGTGTTTGTTCACTGGAGAACGAGGAGCTAACGTGCTGATCGTTTGAACGGGTTCTCCCCGAACCAACCACGCAGAGTTGGTATTTGATAGGGCCGAATACACAAGTTTACTTGGTAGAAAACCTAATCACTTTACGAATGATATTTTAAAACTGCTCTGCGGTAGTTGTATACCTCCTGGTTCCTTCATTGACGGCCTTGTGAACCAGGTGTTTCAATCTCTGTGCTCGTTTTCCTAATTAAAAATTTGGTGACCTTGGTATCGGTCTTCATGACGAAAGGTTGAATGTGAACGACCTTATTGTGGATGGTTGTTAGTCAACAAACTCTCAGGAAGTTAACCGGTGATTCACCATTCGAGAACCCGATTGTTGTTGGAGCATACACGCTATTGAGAGTAAGCAGTGACTATCGATGATACCACTGTTCAGTAAAACGGAGTCCAAAGGTCAATTTGAAGTTCTACCCGGAAGGTTATCGACCCGAATTTTACACGACTGATCTAACGATTGTGCATTATTTCTGAGCTTTTCACTATTAGCTGGGCGAGTCACACAGGATTAATTTCGCCGTTCAAATTGGTCAGTTCTGGTTGCAAGCCTACCTGTACATGTTGTGCACGTCACGTGATCAGTCGATCCTCATTGGGTCTGCAAATCTGACTTTTACCAGCTGACTGTATCTCTCTCATCCCTGTCTGCAACGATCTGAGCAAGAACACGAGCCGAGAATCCTTGCATTTGAGTGCTTATTGAACTGCACCAAGTAGGCAAGACGGCAAGACCACCGTCACATTATTTGGTTTAAAGGATTTGCACCAACGGTTTACGCATGTCTATGCTACTGATAGTTCTTCCATCCCTTTCAGGTACAGTGGGTCCGGAGTATGCGAGTGCTAATCCGAAATGGGCCGCGACTCTGGCACACACACAGCCGAAACTGTTACGACCGACAGAGCCGCCGTTTATCACCACCATGAGACACCTGAGTAGTGGTCTGTCTCCTCGATTCGCTCCCCCCACATCCATTACTGTCAGTGGCGCTCAGACCACAGCTCAACCGGGGTCATCCTACACTCATCATCCACATCCGAATAACCTGTCCAATCAACCACTAATTTACTATAACCCCAACGTTTCCACCGGTCACGTGGCCATAACAGATGCAAGACCGGTCCAATTCTACGAGCCCTACTCACAACCGATGACATCGATTCCAGGTATCTACATCCCTCCTCAATTCGCGCATCTTCTGCGACCAACCACAATGGGTCAACACACTAACACAATTTCACCAGGAGTGACCAGTTTGGAAACGCCAACCATCTCACTTCGTTGCCAGGATACCTCGGTCGTCCATTCGGTTGTTGATAGTCAAGAAAACTGTGGGAGATCAGGTTGGTGATTAAAAAAAAACACAACCGTTAATTCACAGTGTACATCTACACAGGATTCGCTGGCAAGTGCGCCTTCTGGTTTACCGAAAGGATCCAGTTGGTCATTCCTAGCCGACTGTAAATAGTTCGTGAAAGCCTCCTACCCAGAATAGTGCATTTCGTCACAGTCTGTTTGAATCAGTGAAGTTAACTCGAGACAGAATGGATGAGAGGAGGTGCTAGTAGAAAAGGAAGAATCATCATCTGACCGGGAGCGAGTTAGCTTGTCTTACAAAAATGCAGTTAGAACAGCGTCTTTGTTTCTGGATTAATCCATTCCAGTCTGTCGCAATATGTGTAAATAAGAAGAGAACGTGAAATTACAAGGCCAATCGCACCATTTTCTTGGAGCTGTAATTAACGTAATTAGTATATAAAACTGTCATGTCCTCAGTCTCAGCTAATCAATATTGCTCCAGTCTGTATGGCTGACTTCTTCGTGCTAAGAGACCTTTAATGAAGAGCTAGGTTCAACCATGTTCCAGTAAGAAGACTGATGTTTAGTGATTTGGTCTACTGAACTTTAAATTCGGGTACGCTAGCACTGAACAGGGTTGTTTCGGCAGACTTCGGTTAGTTCTACCAACGGATTTATCACTATCACGGTAATGATAAAACTGGCGCTGGTGTTGCGATCGCCGATCGTGTCATGATCCCCGTGTTTGTCTTAGTGATCAGCTGTTCTGCACATCTGAAGTTCTTTTGAATTGGTTAAAGGCATGGTCACCATTGTGAGGGAACCTCTAGGTTTTTAACTTGTGTTCTTCGAATCCACTTCATTTATTCACCCCGTTTTTGTTGGAATGGCTCTTTGCCCTTTAATTTCTTTTTATAAGTAAGAGACCCTCGCCATGAGATTCCCAAACCAGTTATAACAGTGATTCATGGTCTCCATTCCATAGAAAGCCGCAGGTTCTGTGTAGTAATGGTATTTATTTTTCTCAGCTTGTTTCTCAATCTGAGGCTACCAAACTAGCGTCCGCGTCAAAACAATCAAATGTGCATGAGGTATAATAACGCCCAAAACGAAGCTGGGAACACTTGTACAGCGCTTCATGTATATAGCGTGGGCGGCTATAACTTTCTGGAAATTCTGACGCGTTCTGGAAGCGCCATTGGTATTCAGCCAATACTGGATCATGATTGGCTGTTGGGTCCGGACTTTCGACCAATCAGATCTCGGCTTGATGCCGGACCGGCAAGCATCCTGAACTTTTGACCAGTCTTGCTTGGGATGGGTCTCTCGGCCCTAGCAGCACCTGACTGCGAGCGGTGAAGCGGGATCTGTGCGGAATTCCGCCAAACACTCTGGGGAATCGAAAATTGCCTATGGACCCGGAAGATATTTTTATGTTTTTGACGTGAAGGGTGGAGAGCACTGTTTTACTCCACAGGGTCATGTGCGTTTTACTGCAGGGCTGGCTAGTCCATACGCAGTCGGACAAGTCGGTTGATCAATCATTCATCAACTGAGCTCCAATATTTTTTTTGAACGCCGCATCCCATTACCAAGTGACCTGTTCAGGTAATCCATATGGATTATGTCAGGGCAACCAATCAGAGTGTCACACATCATCGAACAGCTGGTTTGATATCGATCGGCCTTACACAGTGAATTCAACCATGCGCAATCGTTTCGCAATGTTGCTCATACGCACCTATACCGAACTATACCGGTACACCCGTTTGATTCGCTACTTCTATAATGCCCTCATGACCCCCTGCGTCCTCTAACGCTCCTGAAACCAGTCTCTCTCGTTATTTTCTTCGTCACTCCAGATGGACTATACTGCACTCCCAACGAGACCAGATTGATGTCTCACCGGACTCAGAAGCCGCAGCACCAACCTCAAATGTTAGCAGACCCCGGGCCGTGGATCAAAGCTAACTGCTTCGACGCAGGCGATGCGCGTTGTCCACCGGTTCCTTCGACCCCACCACCACCCCCACCATCACGACCCACGCCTTCTTCGAAATTGTCCCTTGATGGATAACACCATACGCGACTAGTCGCCACGTCTCGTGATTCCCAAACGAACCAATTGGCCTCTTCCAACGCAGACATAATAGTCCATTGATACTTTTGTTCCGGTGACTTATCCGATACTGCTGACAGTCTTTCCAGATCTTCGCCATTCTTTGTTTGTATCCACTGTCCACTGTTTCAACGTTTCGTCCAACTTGAACATCATTCATGGTAGGTGAATATAGTGTCCACGATTTTACACACCTTTGGGTTGTTCTTCGAAATTCAACCACCGGATTCGACTAGATGTACTTATATCATTTGAACCAGCAGGAATATTCTAGAGTTTTTACAGTACTACTCAGGTAACAAATACGTCGATTCGTTCATATGAGTGTCAAATCCCCATGAACACGTTAAGAAAACTTGGGAAGGATGAGAAAACTTTTTATTGATCAGTTAGAACCATAATCATGCCTGGACTAAGCAAAGCAACTGTGCACGACTGGTTGGCGGATGTCCGGTTCTGGGGTAAACTCTCTGCACTTGGTCGGTCCCCACCTCGTGAATGATCCGAAAGCCTTTCGGGACTGTACACCAAAAATTCCACATTGAATTCCCGTCCGTGACTTTGTACTCCGAAAAATCGACAGCCAGTCTGCCATTGGTCAGTATAAAGCATACTTTGTATTCAACCAATTGGAAAAGTTTGAATAGTTATTAGTGCACTGCCCATGATGTACAAATCAGAAGGTGTATGCACCAATAATCGTTTTTAGCATGGTTGACAGTGGTGGGTTGCAACACGTATAAAAATAAATACAATGCAAAATGGGAGCAAGTCAAAAGAGCAACTTATCGTCCGCGGGAGTTCCTTGGTGCAAGTCCGGACGGCGGGAACGTGTTTTCTCCGCAGTTTGGTTGCTACACTTGTTCTACACTTGTCCATGGACTTGTGGAGAGCAGTTGACTTCCTGCTCCCTGCGCGCGCGCGAGTCTGTGTGTGCTGACTGTGTTCGGTTTCCCTATATGTAGGTCCGTTTGCGTGTACGTGGGTGTCAGTACTGAGTTGTTGCTACATTCACTAGACGGTGCAGACAGTCAACGTCTGATGAGTCACCTTGATGTGACGTGATTTGTGAGTATGAAAAAAGGATAAGTCTCATGATCCAGTGAGCGACTGTCAGCTGAACAGTCAAGTGTGTGGGTGACCGGGTAGTTACATAGTCATCGTTTCAGAAGGGTCTGGTAAACCAGCGATTGTTTACCAAACTTTTCTGAAGCGATACTTCGTTTTCCTTTATCGTCTCATTGAATTCCGAAATTTCCAGCCCTGGATCTTCTCCACACTGTGAATGCCAGGTCTTATTTCAATACGTATCCACCAGCCGCTGTTCCTTTTGTGTGTCAATCGTCCGCACTTTTTGTTGCGGATTCCGTACCTAGACACGCATGGCGTTGGGACCTTTGCGGCCGCAGTCTACCGGCGTTGGTATTTGTGCTATCGAGGACTTTCAGAACACTGGCAAGGGTGGCCAGAGTTTGCCTGCACAGATTCTGATGCCCTCTGGTTACTGGCTGCTCACTTTATGAAACCACTTTGGCGCTGCGGCTGGCTGTGCACCTAATCGTTGATTCCTCATCCGTTTGTTTTCATATTCTAACCTATTGATTTTTCTTTTCTTCCCAGGAAGTCAAACATATTCAACCGTTCCGTTGTGTGCCGTCTTCTGGGCTTCCACTCATCTCGAAGGGTAGAGTGCAAACAACTCGATTCTCTCCTCGAATCAACTGCGCCACCAAATTGCAGAACGTACACTTTTGTATAAAAAATATACAGTACTAGTTCAAGAAATTATCGCTCATCATCATCCCTTTACCAGAACTGATTCTTCCATTACCGGACACTCGCTCATAAGTACTGTGAAGTGAACTCCCCCCCACCCCGCCAATTTCACAATTTATTCCCACAGCCAAAAAGTTTCTCCATTTTCCGTGTCGCCAGTATAACTGGATACATATCGATTGAATGACATCGATACAACCCCCCCTTGAAGTGTAAAAGTATGCAATTCCAATTATTGCGTCAGATAAACAATCAGCTGTTCTTTTTTGCCATATTTGAACTCAATAAAACACACGTATTAAATGACTAGAACCCACATGAGATCACATCACAAGAGGTGGAAGGTAGAAAGAGGTGTACGACATGGATTCAAGTAGACGGAACCTCGGGGACTGCGTCTAGCTGATAAGCTCCAAGAAGGGCGAAACCGGTCGTCGGCTGTCGAAGAGTTTTCAGCAACCTTATGAGTAGTTTCCTTTGTGAAGACATGATCATGTTTTCTGTTAGATGAAGGGTTAATGTACTGACATGTCTCATGGCACATGGCAGCGGAATCTTGAGATCATGCGCTCTTCATGTCACTCTTCGTGTTCAACATGCAACATTGTTCGTAAATAACTTTTCAGATAAATAATGGCCAATGTTGTATGTGTTGTATCGTGGGTGGCCGTCTATTGGTTACGCCTGCGCTGAGCCTGCCAGACTACGTGATAGGGAGAAAACAGGGAACTCGGGACACGGCTGTATCGTCAAGACAAAACATACAGATTGTCTGCGTAGATATATAGGATGACTAAATGGCCAAATATGGTCGTTCATTTGTCGCTCCGTACAGCCAATGGCGGTGTTCCGGTCGTGAACACTTTCAGGCCCACTACGTTGGTCGCGTATGTTGCTAAGCTGTTTTTGGTGAGCTCCGCCAACGCACCTGCTCTCCGAACGTGTCGTACCGATGGTGACCTCGGGGATGCGTCACACTCTGCACATGTTCTTTTTTTCATGTCCGGGTGCGTCCTGACACACTGGTGGCGTCACGGTCTTGGTAAACTTGAGGAAGTTGGAAACTGATTGTCAGGTGTGCAACCGTCGACCACTGGTGAACATTTTAATGAGGGTTTCATCCTATAACTGAAGTCAGTCTATACTAAAAAGCCATCTCCTAATTGTTGGTTTTCGCCAACAGAGTGCATCTCACGAACTTCTAAGGCAGTTGGAACCTGCTGACTTGTCCGGTGCTGCGTTACGCCAGTCAACCGACTTCATCGAAGGGCTCTTTTCGCACAACCACGTGAAGGGTGGATGAGAGCCAGAGGCGGTCAAACAATGACTTGGCAGCGAAGTATGAAATCCATTACCAGCAAACTCAGCTGCGCTGGTCACTGCCGTCTTCTTGGATGGGGACCCCGAGACGGGCCACATCAATGGCTAGGGACATTGTCATCATTGTCAGATATGGCCCAGTCGAACCCCCCCCCCACTTGACAGCCCACTGACAGTGCTGGATTTATGCACCAATTTATCATCTCCCGCCTGCAATGCACAGCTACCTCTCCCCTCCCCCTCGGTGAACGAAACTACGGCAGCTACAACCACTGTACGACGAGTACGCGGTTATTACAACCGACAATCGTGATGATGATAGAACCTGCGGACTCCCGACCACGGGTGACTGATCAACAGTGTGATTAATTCACATCTAGACAGGCCGTCGTGTCGCTCACCCTTCAATTGTACAGTTCATATAACCGTTGTCATGGGCGGGTAATTGTGTGAATAGATCACCAGTCAGTTGGAATCAGCTAGCTGTATTTTATGGTAGGGCTTGACTGCTGGTGAACTTGCGGTTTTGTGATGGACAGTCTGAAACCGCTAACGAAGAGGTCTTGTGTCTCATCCTTCTACACCAATTTGACAGCTTCCATTGAGGAGGAAAGCACCTGTCTAGATGAAGTTTTTTTGAAGGATCTGACCACATCTTTGCCTCAGTGAAGATGATTCACACGAGGTCGGACTACAGACATCTGCGGATGAGGGGCCGTTAGTTTGTGAATATTCAGATGGAGATTGGGCCGACATACTGTAATGTGTTCTCTTGCGTACAACTGAGGCCCATTCATCTCTTGTTCGGTATTTCAACATTCTGCTCGGATACCGGACTCTTGGACGTGCTGATTATCTTGGACGGTTCCGAGTGGACCGTAATAGGCTCTGAAGGTTCCATATGGACCAGAAGATATCTCGAGATTTGCTGATTCGCTTTCTGGGCGACTTTTCACTTCCTAGTTAGATGTTCCTACACCTGTTGATTTTATTTCCGAGGTTCGGTGCTCGAATCGCTCCTCTGTGATGCACTACCATGTGCCTCACAAGATGGCAACTGGACAAAACCGACAGATTGCTGGTTACGTCGCGACCTGACTAGTACGTGTATATACCTTCGGTTTATTTTTCGATCCATTCTCTTTGGGACGATGGGATCCACACATTCTCGCGAGAATTTTCTCGGAATTGCTATAACGAAAATTGGTAAGTATATCTTTGTAATGTACTACTCATAAGGTTGCTGAAAATTCGTCGACAGTTTACGACCGGTTTCGCCCTTCCACTTCGGACTCATCAGCTAGGCGCAGTCCCCGGGTTTCTGTCAACCTTATGTTTTACTTGAAACCAAATTGCACGAAATTAGCGAACATACACTCTTTTGCAAACTAATTTGGTTCTTTCGAGAGATGAGCCCCAAGAAGGGCGAAACCGGTCGTGGGCTGTCGATGGATTCTCAGCAGCCTTATGAGTAGTACATTACAAAGATGTACATGTATCGCGATATTTCGAATGTCGTAGCGACTGAAACATGAGGCGGCCTGCTGCAGCACATTCAGTTGCCTGAGAACATCATAAACGAGGGATTCAGCTGGGTTCCAGGTGAGTCTCTCGAAAGAACCAACTTAGTTTGCAAATGAGTGTGTATTCGCTAAAAATTGGCAAGGTTCTATCCGAATCGGTCACCATAGAGTAATGGTCGATCTTGGCAGGTTTTGCTGAACTTGATAAGTTTGTCGCCAGCATTTGATAATCATGATCGTTCGATGTTCCCCAAGACCTCCATTCTAAACAGTTCCCGAAGTCTGAACTTTTCGTGACAACGCTGAAGCATGTGTTTGCTTTTTGTTCCAGGTTCGACTGCTTGGTTAACATCTTACCGAATTCCACTAGATTTTCAGTGAGCAAGGTTGAACTAAGCATCTTTTATACCGGGTACAAATAGTGAGTGGGCATTTCCAGCCTTCAGCGCAAAAGTTGCCTCAATAGTGCTTCGGAATATTCGGAAACAATGGGTCAAATGCAACTATAATTGATGATTTCAATTTCCAACTAAAGGCACTCATCAACTGGAAATAGAGCCCAGCTTCCGACGTTTGATGATGACATCACGTGACGCTTGTAAGCCAATGTGTAGGTCGATAAAAAGGATATTTAAAACGTTGTGATGACCATAGCCGGTAAGCCAATGTGTAGGTCGATAAAAAGGACATTCAAAACATTGTGATGACCACACACAAATGGCGTAGTGGATAAACTGACCATGTGAGTAGATCAGGTGGTAGAAATTATTCACTGCCAACGCAGCATGGGGAACCGAAATGCACATCGTTCACCTGTGGACCTTTCAGCACGATACTGGTCCGCTGATAAGGCGCGCTTTAGAACAGCCACCAGTGGTGTGGATAGCTACTTCCAACCTCCTTCAGTTACTCTGGAAGAATATTTGCGATCCAGGCCTCATCCGTACCACCCAGAAGCTGTCGAAGAACAACCCCTCAGGCAACTTTCCTACCGAGAGGCTTACGATCATCTTCGTGATCTGGCAGATCAACAGCTGAGGAAAGCAAATGATGCGTTGACGGAAATGAGTGAGACCGTGAATTTTAGTGTTGGAAATCGAAACAAACGGATGTCAAATGGTGGCAATCTGACAACTACCATCAACCGAGAAAAGAACAAACGGCTTCATGATTGGTGGACTGAACAACAAGGACGATCCACACTCGGCAACGTGCGCCCAATTAACCATGGTCTGCCTAGTGGCGTTGGCGACAGTATATCCCCATCAAGCATCCATCAGCCGCCTGACACGGATTCTGAAGACACAGTGGTCAGATACGAAGAGCCCGTTAACAAACAACACCAAATGAGTGTTCGATACCTGGAAACTCCATGCGATACTGTTGCAAAAACAGGTGACACGCGAACCACTTCCTTAAGTTCAAGCAACTCAGATACTGAGAATCTGATCGTAAAAACACCGGCTACTCAAAACAAAGCTCAACACTTTCGAAAACCGCACGAGGTGCATGTCGAAGAGATTTCTTCAAAATCAATATCACTGGTCCGGAACTTGAGAACTTTACAAACACCAGCAGCAGCAGAAAATTACTATTATATTGAAAAGGCGAGAAACACCATTGACCGACCCTCCGCAAACATACCAGCATGTAGGGAGCCTACACAGGGAGCGGACCTAAGGCGGTCCTCCACTTTTGTCAACCACGACCCTAAACTGGAAATGGTAGCCTTGTCTCCGAATAAATTCAACTGTCATTTGGGTTTCCATCGTCTCTCGGATGGGCGAGTTACCTACACCGCATACGTGCATTCCGGCCCAAGTGCTGTTCCCATAGCCGGTTGGCTTACAGACCTCCAGAAACGTGCCTCACGTCACTTGATTGGGCTCCGTCGCCAGCATCGGTGTGACATACATTTTGATCCACATCTCATACCATATCGTGGTCTCTATGTTCACGCCATGGTGATTATTGGCCAAACCCAGTCCGACCTGATTCGATTTCGCAACTCACTCCCGGCATGTATTCAAAAGTACATGATCACTCCATTTGCGAACCACTCGGCTGCGCTAAGACGTCGTGGAACTTTTCGGAATGTATCCTGAAGCATTCCTTCATCTTTTTCGGACACTTGAATGTCTTTGTTTATTTTATCGTGCCCCTGCAAATCAATGTCTGCGAGGTGTTTCTCTATTGAAGACCTAGTGGACGGGATAGTTTAACACCTGTAGAAGATAACAGAGTAGTCTTCGCTACAAGAATTGGGTGCTTCCAAGTGGTTGAAATCATTTATTGCTGCCGGAGTTTGCTTGTTCAGTCTTTGCAGTAGTAGGCGAGGCGTAAGGAAAAGGTAAGGGATAGGGTCATAGTGTATGAGAAATGCTCATCAGGGGCTACTTCGTACCTTCTCCCTGCTAACCGTGTGACGTTCGCGAACATTTTCAAATGACGTTGCTACATCGAAAAAGAGGGTTGAAGAGTTGCTCGTCATTCGTACCATAGGTCTTCGACGATATGACGATCATCCTAGCGGACAGCAAAGTTTGTAAGTGATGAGAAAATCTAGTCGCATTGCTGGCTGTCAGTTCCCTGGGTAGACAAGTTGAAGATGCTGAGATGCATGTCCCGTCCAAGCAGTGAATGGTTTTCGAGAAATACACTCATTTGCAAATCAATTTGGTTTTCACGATAGACTCAACTGAATCTCTCGGTTATGATATTCTACAAGTTCAAGTAGAACGTAAGGTTGACGGAAACTCGGGGACTGCGCCTATCTGATGAGCCCCAAGAAGGGCGAAACCGGTCGTGGGTTGTCGAAGAGATTTCAGCAACCTTGTGAGTAGTTTCCTTTATGAAGTGAATGGTTTTCTTGGATCGGAGCTCTATGGTCCTTAATGCATGACTTCCCCCTACAATAAAATTGGATCAACTAAGGCAAGCGTAACCTGGTACAATGAATAGACGAACCCAACGGAGGAGACCTAGAATAACTCGTCGACGTATGAGTGCTTTCTGGTATGGTAGACAGTCGCGTGGCTGATACCTAAGCAAGACACGACGAACACGTCCTTTGTGGTGCAGGTGCATCAAAGCGTATTCCGTGATGAGTTAAAAGACACTATTTGGCAGTGATCACCCGTTCCAAAGTGTGGGGAAGTGACAGCTGTCTCCATCCTCCAGTTTGGATAAACCTGGACATAATCCACACAAGTGTTGTGTCGGATCTAACGTGTGACATGAAAACGGCACCCGTTAAGTTTTTCTGGTCGCGAGGCCTTACTGACCTAGATAATGACACCGGTGTAAGGATGCCGGTTGCAAACTACCGAAAGGGAAGATTTTTCCTTCCTTTCGAGCTTTACTTGGGGGAAAGGAAGTTTTTTGAGGGGACTTCACTTTTCGATAATTGTTTCTACGGGAGAAGTCTGTTTTCGTTGTGGACTTACTCTCCCTAGATGCGTGTCTTTGTAATTAATTATAAATAACGGAGCGGATGTGATAACTTGCAGGTGAGAGGATGTGTTACTTATCCGAGTCTGAGTGATGGTCCAGTTTATCAATATTTGTTCCCTAGTTTGACTGTTTACCTTATAATTTCAACGTGAGGCCCCGCAGTTTATCTGAAAGCACAACCAATAGGTGTTTGGTTTTTGAGCACCCCTCACCGGATAATGAACCTGACTACTCGGAACAAAGGAGTACCGGTTGAAGACAACCGACTGACGGGTATCGTATTCGGTGGAGTGGAACTTACTCCAACCCCACTTGGAAACCCATTTTATTCGGTGGTCCGTTTAGCTACGTTATCATAATTCCTTGACTTTACGTGTTTATACACAACAGTAGATAGGCTGTGAAAGTTCCCCAGTAGTCTTTCTAGCAAAGATGTTGCGGATGTATAGTCAAAGGACCATGTGGGTAAAGAACTCCTCCTAGGCCACCCCGCCCCGAGCGATCCAGTGACAGCATTTGGCCTCACACAAGTTGGATGAGTTCGATGAAAGCACCTGAGGTCCCGTTCACTAATAAAGGTGTGCATCAGACGAAACCAAGTTCCTGTTCACTTATGCGGGGGATGATTGTCAAAAAGGCGAGGAAAGAAGATGGAAGAAACCAAGTTCCTGTTCACTTGGGAGGGGGATGATTGTCAAAAGGGCGAGGAAAGAAGATGGAAATACACTCATTTGAATACCAGTTTGGTTTTGACGGGAGACTCACCTGAAAATCTATCGTTTATGATGTCTCTAACAACTGAATGCGTTGCAGCAGGCCGCCTCATGTTTCAGAAAGGGTGAAACAGGTCGTGGCCTGTCGAACTGGTGTCACCAACATTATGAGTTGCGTATTACCTCTATACAGGAGGGCGATGTGTTTCAGTTCATCACCATCATCATCATCATTATTATCATCATCATCATCTTCCTCATCATCATCATCGTCATCGTCATCATCATCATCACCATCATCATCATCATTATTATCATCATCATCGCCATCTGTAAATACAGCGTACTCTTCGTACAGTTACCCAAAGGTGATTCACTCTTTTATGTCTAGGTGGTTTTCTGGTCTTCCCAGGATGACGTCAATAACCAGGTAACGTTGCCCGATTGATTTAACCCAATGTCAAGGTCAACAGAGGCGAAGATATCCCAAACTCCAAAAATAGATTACTAAGCTCAGAAAAGAAGAGCGATTTTTCTGGTGTAGTTGTGGAAAAAATTGCATAAGTCATCAATCCGCAGGTGAGGAGATCCACGGTCACATTGAATCATCGAAACAGACAGCATAGAAATTGACAATCTGTCTTAATATTGCTTACAAAGTTCATTATTAAGCAGAGATGGCTAGCCTTCAATCTGTCAGGGTAGTACGCAAAAGGTTACAAAAGTTAGGTGCGACTCGGCTTCCAGGATCCCCACCGCGCCTGATTGGGTACGCTGCAAGATGTGGCTGCTAAGCACTCCAGCACGGGTTGGTGCTGTTAGGATCAGCCAAATCGTTCTCTTTTTCGGTGACGCACACTCCACGAAAGTTGAGACTAAAGTTACCCATGAGATAACCAAAGAATCTCATTAATAGCACACTTATGATGGGTGAAAGTGACAGTCAATTGATTTAGAGGACTTCTTCGCAGTGCAGATAGTTTTGTGTCCTTCCAACCACAAGGTACGTACCTCTTCATAATGCATCCACTGTGTGGTGCACCTCGTGTAAATGTTGTTAAAATCCAAATTCTTTTACGACGACAATTTGAAAAGTAACATTTGTTGGCGATTTAAATCTTTACTACGTCACGGCTTTTTCCTTAGCGTTTCTTTAGTTTTCAGAGTCCAGTGTTCGATGAGCTTTCTTCGAAACGTTCTGCTGTAAGCGATACACCGGTTGATCGAATGCTCTCCATCCTCAACCGCGCTGGTGAACCGAGAATGTTTACCTAACGATTTCCGACTCATCGCTGCATGAGGATGTGTTGTCCATAACATCCAACTCAAAGCAGTTCTGTGTAATTTCGTGTTACCATGTGTGTGTGTGCTTTGTGTTGTTCCAGGTGGTTAAAGTCACAGGCTAACGCGACACTTTTGAGTGCACATTATCGTCTTCAACACCTAAAATAATTTCCCTTAACTTGAGCATGGCTGATGACCCACATGGCCTAGCTTATGAGTGAATAATTAACGGCGGTCAGCCGTAGCAGAGTGGCGCAGTGGAAGCGTGCTGGGCCCATAACCCAGAGGTCCGTGGATCGAAACCACGCTCTGCTACTTCGACTTTTCCCAAATCCACCAAAATTTCGTCCCGCTGCTGCCGGGAATCCTTTCAGGAGTCACTCGCTTTACAATAACCTGCTGATAGACTTTCTAGGCTTGAGAGAAAGCTCGTCCTACATGCCCGATACTGTGTCAACCCTGCAGGTTGAGCGTAAATACAGCGAACGCAAGGGCTCAACCATGAATCATCACAAAGGAATTCATGACCATATCTTCTATTCCAGGTAAATGAGTCTCCCCAAAATGTTCACTCACGAATATTCATTCTGAGTTTACATTACATACTTTGGAATATATCAGCTAACGAATCACATTAAAAAACGTCTACCCGTGGGTGCGAGTTCTAAGAAGCCAAAAGTTAAGTGGGAACTATGTACTCCACACTACTCAACTACTTTCGGGCGGTTGTCTCCCGAGACAGAACACGTTCTCCTACTAGGGCGTTGGATTGTTGACCCAGGATTTGAGGCAGTAGAAAGAAATTTGACATCTACCCGTAATTAAGCAAACAGAGCCTTGGGGTGCTGTGAGAAATTTCAAGTTCAGTTAGCCTACTCATGAGTAGTCAAACTACACAGCCGGTCTTTTCATCAGCCGCCGGAAGCTCACGAGTGCATCAGGCTACGATCCTGTTGACCACCTGATATCCATTCCTCCAGTCAATTGTGATAACACGCAACAAGGGGTGTGTATAATGACCACAGAACACGAATTCAGTGGAATGGTACCCTTTCGCAAACGGTCAGTCGCAAACAGGTGATGTGTGAAAAAGGCCGACACACAATGCGACTAGAAATTCGAAATGTAAAAATGGCGCTGCAAATCGGGGTCATTACAGTCTAGGCTGAAAAATCTGTGTTCAGGCCCAGGGAATGTTTTATGAATCCAGGGTATTAGTTTTAAGGCAGTACAAATCCATTCTTCTATCGACTCTTGTACATATTGGAGCCTTTGCGTTGATGGCTTTCGTGGAGCCTGTGAGTAGAACTAATAATTTTTGCAGATCTGCTCAGTGATTGCTGCTCCAGGGCAGCATATCCAGAAGACGCCGTCAAAGTCAACTCATTCTGTGTCCGGAGGAAGACAACGTGATATAAGGTAAACAAGGAGTGGGAAAAAGGCACCTGTGAGCTGTATAGGACGAAAATTGTCTGTGTTTACAAATGCATGGGGAACTGATGCAAAAACCAGCATGATCCGGATTCGAACGGTTCCATTTCCAGTTCCAGTAGGCTGTTGTCCCCTCCGCATCACCCCCCACCGTTTTCCCATCCCCAATTCAGAGTGGCGTCAACAGAAAGGTGGCCAACCCTTGACTTGGCAGAGGAGTATGAAGGAGATCACGAAACGCTTGAGTGCTGTCGGTGCTACTTGCCTTCCAGGATTGGGACCGCGTGATCCTCACTGTGTCTGTTTGGAGACACTACAAGATATGGCCGCCAATCGATATCAGTGGCGTTCTTGTTGTCAGTTTCTATCCAGATCGCCTGGGTGAGTGTCTGGAGGTATAGGCGCCTCGGAGTGGTAAGCCAGCGCTAAGTCCATTCCCCGTCAACCTTCACTCATTTCTTTACAATGAGGCTTTCAACTAAATCATGGTTGTACGGCAGTAAAGCATCGGTGTTGAGCACTGATGTCATGCTGTCGATGATGATGATGGTGATCCCCACTGGTCACCCAGACCATATGGTATATAAGCTCATCCCGGAGTCGGGTTGCGTCTCCAAGGCATAGGGGTTTCTCCATAGACAACGAGAGATTTTGCACAACGACGATATTTTCCGGGAGATTGTACTGCAATTATGATATTCGACAAGGCAACGGATAAACAAAGGTTGGCCTCGGCGATATGGTCTCATTGAAACTAAAACTATGTCCTCTGATCGTTTCGGAGGGGTTTGGTAAACAATCGGTGGATTTATTGCTGGGCAAAGTTTCGCTTTTGACACAAGAGCTTCGTCAGGCCAAGTGAGTAAGTAAGTAGGTTGATTGGGCTTTAAGGCAGTCAAGAAACCAATCCGTGAGATCCCTTATGACTAGTGACGTGATCAGTGCTGGGTGTTCAGTCTGATGTCCCTGTTTGTTGATTAGTGGGATGATTAAGCTTTGCGATAGATCCTCTGATGTTTTTTATTCCTCCTCGCTTGAAGAACGACAAAGCTGATGGTATTTTGGAAGTACGTCATCATAATCTACATCACTTCATGGCTAGCTATGAGTTTCAATCAAGTTCTGGCTCAATAACCTGAGCACAAGACAACAGTAAGCCTGGACTTTTTCGAAGCAGTTCAACACAAGTCTGCCAGCCCCGAACATGGGGAACCAGAAAACTGTTATTCTGAGCGCTACTCACTGACCGACCTGTTACAAGAGGCTTTACAAGTGCCAACTGAACGACCTCCACGATAGTACGTTTGGCCACGGGGACGCACAACTAGTCGCATGAACGTCCAGCCTCTCTGCCACAGGGAGAGTACGAATATCAGATCCACAATGGTTATTCTCTATTCTGACCGGCAAGTATTCAGCGTTCTATATAACTGAAGCCCCGTGGCTCGCGGCAACTGTTCCATATCATGGGAATTGTCTGCACTGAATAGAAGGAAGAGTGACACTTCGAACTACTGGAACGTACAAGCGAAGCAACCATCAAAATGATACTGAATTCCCGATCCGGAAGATGATGGGGTCTCTTGAATACTGCATGATTCATTTATCTTCCTACTCAAGATCATCCGGCATTTTAACTTCAAAGTCTCTGACAAACGGTTCCCCCTGAACGGGTTTATCTCTCAGCCGGTAATTGGTCGTGTTGGTCACAACGCCAACGGCCTATTGCAGCCGTTCACAACATGCAGCCGCCACGTCTTCGAATCATGTGTGGAGAGTGGGTACTTTAGCTTGATAATATCCGGAATTCGTTTCGCACTCAGCTGCCTTCAGTCGTTTCGATAACACACCCTCACCCCGAGTTTGAAAGTATTGGTTACTCATATCTCTAGACCATATGACCAGGTGTTTTGAATAGAAACAACGGATGACAAGGCTAATAAGTATGGTATGGGGGGCACGGTGAAAAGCACTACTGAAGTTAGAGCAAAGCACATTCATCGGTTGGGATATCCATGCATCTGACCCATGATTCGCGAGCCATGGGGTGGTACACGACTCGTGAACGCTTGTTGTCTTCGGACTATGATGTTGAGTGTCTTCATACGTGCCATAAACAACGGTTTAACTCAGATTTTCGTACAACATACATCAAGCAAACCAGAGAATAGTTACATAGTATGTGGTTACCATCTCTCTTTTGAAGAGGTATGTGGCCACCATATATACTCCTACCCCGGGGTGATAAGCTGCACAAGTAAGCGATTGGTTGTTGTGTGAGCACAGACTCCAAGGGATGTTCTGTTCTGGTCAAGTAGCTTACTGGATACCCATTCTTTTGGTTGTTTCAATGTACTCTTCCGTGAATTCGTAGGCATATCAGCTTCTTTTCACCCCGCCCGCTCCACTGTCTATTGTCCAATTCTAGTGCTTCGATGACCTTATGAAGGATCTTCAAAAGAGCAAGTGTCTCACTGTAACCATTATATTTCCCCCCTGTTCATTGACATCTACAGGTAACTCACTGTTGGCTTGGCTATTATGAGGGAATGAGAGATGCGGTTCGCATCTGGCTGTCACAAACATCATCATCATCATCATCATCATCATCATCATCATCATCATCATCATCATCGACAGCATGACATCAGTGTTCAACACTAATGCTTCACTGCCGTACAACCACGATTTATTTGAAAGCCTTATTGTAAAGAAAAGAGTAAAGGTGAACGGGGAAGGGACTAGCTTACGAGAATCATTCCGAGGTGCCCAGATCTCCAGACATTCACTCAGGCGATCTGGAAGGAAACTGAGAACAAGAACGCCACTAACATCGGTTGGCAGCCATATCCATCATGATCCGCATCTGGGTTTTAGCACACGTTTCAGCTTTCTGTCGACTCACGCTGGCTCTGCTTTATACTTATTCAGAATGCGCTCTTCATATAGTTGGGCATACTGACACTAGTGCCTAGAAAGCCGTACGATTTTGTATTCCACAATTTGTTATAGAATCTCAGAGTCAGTTCACCAAATACTTGGGATGACAGTATTGGTAATCCCTAAAGCTTCTGTTGCCCGGAACTGTGACAGTTTGTCCCGATGAGTTTATGCCAACCTAGGTTGTCAGAGGATTTCACGAACAGAAGATCAGCTGAGTTATCCGGGCGTTCTCTGCGCAACTTGACTGCAGTGTGAACTTGGTGCATTCCATGGCAATGTCTCATCTTACTAAAGAGCAAATTTTCCACAGCTATACTTGGAGTGGTACATTACCCGACAACTAAGAAATGTGGTCCAACTGTAGTTCATCGGGTTGTGACGTTACCAGTTCCCTTGCCACAGACTTTTCTGAGCTATCCGGGGTTCCTTGATATGAAAAATTATCTCCACAGCAGTTCATCTGGATCCCATTTGTTCCTGAACCGCACCGCGTTGCCGTCTATCCTCGGGTGGCAGACCAGACTTAGAGATCCATGGACTAGCGCATAGCTTGTCACCCTTGGTAAATAGTTGTTGGACGAACTCGGAGCTCCTCCGGTTCAGTTGCAGCTGGTATAGGGTAGTTGCGGCCTTACCTCATAGGACTGATAAGTGACGCTTCGGCCTCCCCAATAGCCTATCCAGTATAACATGGATTGCGTAAAACTCGTCGAATTTTCATCCGATCCGGATAGCTCAAATGCTCACTAGACCAGAAACCGCAGTTGTTCTTGTCCTGTCATCCAAACTCAGCAATTTATTTCACACATGGAATTTTTCGCGCATCTCTACCGTATTCCGCTGTTATGCACAACAAGACTCCCACTTAAGTTTTTTTTTTTGTTATAAAGCATACTACTTACGAGTAGCGAGAAGGATATCCCGTACATTTTAGTTGAGCTTAAGTCCATATTCCGGTAGGGTGGCGCAAGACCCCTCAGTGCGTGTGTTCCCAATAGTGTGCTTACGAAATTCCAGAGTGAATGATACACACACACATGTCAAGGACATTCGACACCTCGAATATAGACTGGAGGAACTAAAAAGTGTCAGGGCGCTCCCAGACAAAAGAAAAAGCACATGTGCAGAGAGTGACGCATCCCCAAGGTCAGCATCCGTTTGACACGTCCGGAAAGTAGATGAGTTGGCGGCTCTCACCGAACACGGTTTAGCAACATACGACCAGCGTAGTGGGCCTGAGAGTGTTCCAACCGGAACACCATCCTTGGCTGTACGGAACGAACAAGTGAACGACCATATTTGGCCAATTAGTCATCCTAGTTATTTACGCGGACGCTCTGTATGTTTTTGTCCTGGCAATACAGCCGTGTCCCCAGTTCTCTGTCTTCTCCCTATCGCGTAGTCTGGCAGGCTCAGCGCAGGCGTAACCAACAGCTCGGCCGCCGCACAATACAACAAAAGACATAAGGAGAAAAAGAAGGCTGGTCAAAGTCCACACGAGGGCTATTCATAGGGTGTGGTCAGTGAAAGGGTGGATAACCAGTGTTTTAATAAGTGGAACGGTGTGCATAAACGACGAAAAGAACCGATGACAGGCGTGATCACAAAGACCTCCTACTAATGGATAAGTGACCTTGGCCTGGATATTCCAATGGAGTCACGACTGTACCCGCAACTGGAATAGTGCTTTCATCAAATGGCAAACGAATGGCCACAATTCTCTATTTGGATGATCTCTCTTGTCATCGGAGCACATTGACCAGGTTGAGTTCAATACCAGAGGTCAGTCTGTTAACGGCACTCCTGCTGTTTCAAATACTAATGAGTCCTTTGTAGATGATCTTGTGGTATCCGAACAAAATGCTGTATCTGAAGAACGTACTACCTGTGAAGATTCTGAAGTTTCCATTCCGAGAAGATCCGAAAGATTGCGGTCAAGACCACCACTGGACTATAAACACCCGCACGCTCATTCAAGGTGTGGCGGATGTGATGAACATGACTGATGCTCTATTCATTGCTTTATTCATTATTCTCTTGTTTTAATATTCCATATGCTGTACATATACGCCAATTCGTATACGTACGTGCTACTTGTTGCGCTGCCGTGGACCACAGAAGTAGCATAGTCCACTCAAACCAACGCTATGTGAGTTACTTCCAGTAGTTCGTTAGTCAATCGATCAGATATTACGTGAGAACAGGGGATAGACAGATACTCATATGGTTGGACAGAGGGGGCAGCGAACAAATGAATAAGACGAGAAAAGCAGCGTAAAGAAGCTAAACTGAGTTCTTCCGGTAAAGTGTTTTGAATTTTGTTCGCTCAACTGTACCCAAATCGTGGTGATCATCAAACAACCGTAGAAAGAAAACAGCTAAGTTGGGCGACCGTGTACGAAGGAGGTTTTTGCAGCCTATGTTCCAAAAAATTTCTACAGTCAGTTCAATACGAGTCAAGTGCAGCCTCATTTGTCTTCTGATTGGTGTTTTGACTTTGGACATTCGAAATTTTAGTGTATATTTGAAGGTCAGCGTAAGGCCAAGGTCATCCAATCATTCATTGGGATTAGTCAGCAGTGGAGATAAACAATCCGAGCACTGAAAAAAAACCAACGGCCGACTGACACAAGTAGTCGGCAGCTGGACACATTCAGCTAAACGACGTTGAACAATCAACG